TTACCCCCATCTCAGGGCTGCTTGTTGTTCAGGTCCTAAATCTGGAAATGACTACACTATAGCTTCCCTGAGTATTCACACATCAGTAGAAGAAAGTTAATTAGCAGACTTGGAACAAGGACCTCTCCTTTTGGGTGTTATGACACTCCTGGCTTGGTATATATGCTAACTTTTTAAAAAATGTTTATTTATTTTTGAGTGAGCATGAAAAAGGGAAAGGCAGAGAGAAGGAAACAGAGGATCCAAAGCAGACTCTGCTCTGTCAGCAGTGAGCCCAATGTGGGGCCCATGAGATCATGACCTGAGCCAAAGTCAGATGTTCAACTGACAGACACCCAAGATGCCCTTATGCTCACTTTTTTAAAAAATTGGAGATTTCTTAAAATCTTCTTTCTATACACTAAGATACACCAAATTGTAATGGTAGAAATTGAGAATTAAGTCTTATACATTCTTTGGGCTTTCATTTAATAATTTTGTCTTCCCTCGGGGGCTCAATTCCAATGTCTTCCCACTTGTGAACTTTGTTTTTGATAATTTCAGTAATGCAAAATGTTTCTTGGTTATCCACTTTTGAAATAATTTTGTCAAAGCTTTTCAAATAACTTGCAAGCAAAGTAACCAAAATATGTATGCCTCATTATATTAGTTTCCTAGGGCTGCTATACAATAATGGACCACAAACTGGGTGTCTTAAAATAACTGAATATTTTCCTCTCCTAGTCTGGAATCTAGAGGTCAGAAATCAATGTGTGTTGGTAGGGCCATGCTTCCTCTGAAGGCCTTGGAGATCCTTCCTTGGCTCTTCCCAGCTTCTGGTGGCTGTTGGCAATCCTTCACATTCCTTAACTTGTGGCTGCATCTTGTAGCTATTCAACCCCAATTTCTGTGTCTGTCTTCACATGGCTATCTTTCCTCTGTGTGTGTCTGTGACTAAATTTGCTTTTCTTATAAGAAAAGTTTGCTTGAAAGTAATTATAAATTATGTAAATATATGCACCCTAAATAAATGGAGGTAATGCATTTTGCCATGCAATGCAAGCACCATTTCACTGTAAGTTGAAGGCTATTCAGCAAGTATGCTTCAAGCAAGTATACTTCTTTCTGGAGAAAGCCTGAGTATAACACTGATTAATCCAGTTGGTCTGGATGACTGTATGCTTCTCTCTAGAGTCACTGGATGTTGACCAATGCTACGATATTTAAAGGCAAATGATACTATAGGCATATGTATGTGAATTGCTTTTAGCAGGATATATCAACCTGTCAGTGTTGTTTAATAATAATTGCGTATGGTTTGCACCAAGTTTCAGCAGAGTCTAGGAGCTGGGGAGTGAAATGGGTTGTTTTTCAACAGGTATGACTAGTCATGTAGCTAAATCACGCCTGCAGGACAAGCTTTTTGTAAGAGACCCTCACTACAAGTGGTTTTGAGCTTTCTGGTACTGAGATGCTTTGTACAGCCTCCATTAGTGGTATAAGACCTGGAGATAAAGCATATCCTGTACCAAGTAGTGGGAGGACAAATAAGTTGCTCCCGAGGTCTTAGCACCTCTTTCACTGCACATCTTTCCCTGTGCTGCTGTCCTCCATTTTTGCCTGTAATAAATCTGTCCTTATTACAGTGGAAAGTATTTGAGTCCTCTAAATCATTTCAGCAATAAAAACCTTCAAATGATTATTATGTAATTAACATAGGCGACACAGAACTGCACCACTGAATAATATACAGAGGAAAAAATAAACCAGGCATCAGTCTGCAAGTTTCATCCCATCTCCTGTATCCCATTTTTCAAATTTCACCCTAGTAGGGGCTAAAACCATACTTTTTACAGTAGCATTATGCAGCCACTCCATAGCTTCTGAGGAAACTAGGTCCATTGCCCTAGTATGGAATGATATTTAAGTCCAGAAGCAAAGGGGTGATTCTGCACCAGTGAAACCCCCACCTTTAAGGGAAAAAGAAGGTAGGCAAGACACTGATGAAGAAATACCTGATTTTACATTTAATATGCTTTAAGATTTTTATTTTATTTATTTTTTAATGTTTATTTACTTGAGAGAGAGAGAGAGAGAGAGAGAGAACACGAGAGGTGGAGGGATAGAGAGAAGGAAACAGAATCTGAAGCAGGCTCCAGGCTCTGAGCTGTCAGCATAGAGCCCAACATGGGGCTTGAACTCATGGAGTGAGAGATCATGATCTGAGCTGAAGTCAGATGCTTAACTGACTGAGCCACCCAACCGCCCGTACATTTAAAATTTTAAAGAAACAAAGAAAAGCACACACATCGAAATGTATTATCACAAAGAACTCATCATCCAACGTAAGGGAAAGAATATCATTAAGCATCTGAGAGCACCACTTAATGTCCCCTCTCAAGTTCTACCTCCCTTCTGATAACCACTAGTCTAACTTGTTGCTCTAGAAATTAATAATTTGTAGATCCTAATATGTTATATTTATGGGGTGTCTGGCTACTATCATTCAGTCTTCTTTATATAAAATTCACCCATGTTGTGCTATGTGGTAGTAGCTCATTCATGTTAATTGCAATGTTCCATTCTGTTGTATATCACAATTTATATAAAATAGTGTTGATTTGAATTTTGGATATTAAGAACAATGCTGCTAGGAACATTGGGTACATATTTTTAGTGTATATATACATGCATTTCTGTTGTGTATATACTTAAGAGTAAAATCTCTAGTCATAAGATATGAAGATGTTTATCTTTGACAAAGACTGACACAGGTTTCCAAGATACTCATGCCAGTTCGCATCTACATCAACATTGCTTAGCATTCCTATACTTTGTTTTTTGCCAATACCAGGTATGGCCAAAATTTTTTAAATCATTCTGGTAGTTGTGTCTGGTAGTTGTATGGTAGTTTTTAATTTGCATTTTCCTGAGGACTAGTGATGTTGAGTGCCTTTTAATATGTTTAATGGCCATTAAGAAACCTTCTTTTGGTGATGTGCTTATTAAAGTAAGTCTATTTCCTCTGTACTATTGTATCACTTTTTTTTCTCTTGCTGAAATATGTCCAGTTAAATATGAACAAGTAAGAGACTGGATTTAGATGAAGAGTTATGTTTGACCATGTCAGACATGAAGTATTAATTAGATACTTAGGTGTGGAGACCAAGAAGGCAAGTTGAGTGCATGAATTTGGAGTTCAGGGAAGAATGAGTTTGAAAATATGCATTTAGAAGATTGCAACCTATGGATGGACTTAAAACCATGGAACTAAACACTATTATCCAGAGTAAGGCTAACCCTTAGGGTATTCCAACCCTTAAAGGTTGGAAAAATAAAAGTCAGAAGGTAGACTGCAAAGAAATGGCTAGTGAGTTAAGAGAGAAACCAAGGTTTTGATGGGTTTAAGATTTCAAATGAGGAGAAAGATGATATTTAAAAAAAAGTGATGATCAATTCTATCAAACAGCTCTGAGAGGTTGGGTAAAATGAACACAGAGTAGCAAGATGAAAGTTGTTGGTAACCTTGGAAAAAAAGTGATTACCAGAGGGACAAAAACTTGAAGGGGGAAGGTTATTGACAGCATAACGTATTCAGTATGGATAGTTATTCTATTGTAGGTGTCACAGAGTAGTCTAAAGAACTGAGAGGAGTTTGGAAGTGTACTATTACAAGAAGGAATTTTCTTTAAAAATGAAAGAGATAGCATACATTTGACTTAACTAACACTTGATCCTTAGGTGAGGAAAACAATTGCTAATAATGAGTCACGGTGTAAACTAAAAGGAATGGAATTGAGTGTACAAGTGTAGCCATTGGCAAAGAAAAAATTCATTGCAATGAAACAATTACTCTGCAATCAGAGAAAGTGGACATCAGACCTTTATATAAGTCTTATTTTCTTGGGTATTACTGGCTCAAACCATGAAACCTGGCTCATTCTGACTGTGATACTGGCTCTTGTTTCTCTGGTGTAAATGAAGTCAGTAATGTGGAGTCATAGGGAACAATTATCCTGTAACTGTGCAGTGCACTGATAATATTAAAACTTCAATAAAAACATTTGATGTCCCTATTTGATAGATGTGGAAATTGAAGCTCTGAAGAACTGAGTAACTTTCACAGCCCCATTTAGCTACCAGAGCTGTGAATCATCTTTCTCATTTGAAGTGGTTTTTTTTTTTTTTCCACTTATAGTGACTATACAACATCCAATGTTGGTTACTTCTGATAATGAAAGTCGCAGGTGTACTAGTTTAACTGCGACACGAGGTGTAAACCAAGACTTTCCAGAGCAAAAACAGTGTATGATCACCCTATCGTTTCCTCCACTTTTTGATATTTTTTGCCATTCAATTCAAAGTATTCTATTCAATTTCAATTTACCCATGGCTATTTTTAACACCAATAACCTGTTCGTTTTGATTTGTTTTGAGAGAGAGAGAGAGGGCATGTGTGCTCATGAGCAGGAGAGGGACAGAGAGAGAGAGAGAGAGGGAATTCCAAGTTGACTCCACTGTCAGTGCAGAGCCTGATAGGGGGCTCAATTTCACAAACTATGAGATTGTGACCTGAGCTGAAATCAAGTCTGACATTTAACCAACTGAACCACCCAGTTACCTCTTAACACCAATAATCTTAAATTAAAAGTAATCTTAAGGGCAATTAAGACTTGAAAAATTATAATAAAGACAGACAAACTTAAATATGCCTAAAGGATTAGTTTATTGAAATGACTGCTTAGGAAATAGAGTCTCAAGTAACAAGCACAATTCCAGAAACAATTTTTATACAGATTTTCAAATGTTCATGGTATTTTCAACTCAGAATTAAACTTCCATGGTATTAGTGAATTAAAATTTGGAAAATGTAGAGTTTATGAGCAAATTCAAATTAAGATGAATAACATAATACATAAAATAAATGAATAAATTTTCATTTTTTTCCATGTAGATTCAAAATTATTCATTTTTGGTAGCTTGATGTAAAGACTGAAAGGATGCCACGTTTCCAATTGCAGTCAATTCTGTAAAATATAAAGCAGATATAAAATTAGTTATGTTATATGACATATTCATCCCTCCTCATTCATAATTTTGATGTGATTAATTTACAAGACAAATTTTGTTACAAATACAAAATGTTGAGCCCTACCTGAGGGCATATAAAATTTTCTATATAATTAAATATCAGCTCACCTAAAATTGTTTTAGTGAAATGTCTAGTCTACTATGATCACAGAAAGATTCATATTTTAAGAATCCCAAAGCTATATTCTTTCCCCCTTTTAAACCTCACACCCAGAAAAATTAATTTCATTTTGACTCATGAATTAAAGGATAATATGTAAATTTTAAATGAGAGAAAAACAATTGAAGTTATGAAGCCTAAGTTAGAAATGAGAATGAAAAAGATATTTAAAAGTATCTCAAATATATTCACATAAAAGTAGAAGAAATTATTTTCAGTTTTTTCTAAAAATGCTGATAACCAAGAATCAGAATATAGGCAGTGGAACACAAACCAGTCAAATCTGTTAATAGCACATAATAAAAGTTTTAAATTCTTTGAAATAGAAAAGATGCAAAATTTCAGGTCAGTAGATAATAATCAACCATTGAGACACCCATGATGCTTTGATCATTAATAAATAAGTACATATATTGATAAAGTTTGTCACTTGCTCAGAATTAGTGAGGAGAATGAATTATAAACAGATATTAACTATAAAGATAATCAGTCTAATCCCCAAACTCCCAAAACTTACCAAAAGTGAGGAGGGCACATTAAATTTGAAATTCTCTTAGACCTTAAAAATTAAAAAAAAAATTAAAGACCAAGATAATTAAATATACGATTCACATTTAGGCACAGAAACAGACACTTTCCCTAAGAATTCTGTGAGTGAAGAAATAAGCATCTCAGTTATTTATCCTCATAGGTACATGTATCAAAACAAGATGTGAAAGAAGGCACCTGCGTAATAGATGTGCACAAGGAAACCTTCAAAATTGTTGAAAATAATAAACCTTCTTTATTCCAAACCCAATCAGATTATCAAATTTAATTCTAGCTTTACTAACCCTTAATCCTCTTTACCTAAATTCTCAACAGACCAATTAAATCAGAATCTCTGAAATAATTTGTTCCCTATGGTATCTTCTACATAGAAGATCAGAACAATTATATCAGAATCTCTGTGGGTTGGCCTCGACATTGGGATTTTGGAAAGACACAGGACTACAGATAGTTCTATTGTGTTGCCAGGATTGAGAATCACTGATCTAAACAATGTGCATTTCAGATCTATTCATTATTCATTTATTCTTTCATTATAGAGCCCTCAGTTACTTCCTCTATCACCATATTCATGTCATAAGTGAGAGAGCAGACTTATTAAGTTTGGACTTACAATAATGGGGTTGTAAACTGGGGCCGTCAAGGGTTGAGCCTCATGGGCGGCATCCTGGTAGAGCGGTAGGGTTTGCACGGGCATGTCTCTCTGGACGTAGGGCACCATTTGCTGGGGAACAGGCATGACTTTGGGCTGTGGGATGGACTGTGGGATGGACACCAGTGGCTGAGGAAGAATCATGGGAGTCTGAGGAAGAGCCTGGGGGATCTGGTGCATCAGGGGCTGGAGCAGAGGCAGAGGCAGAGGCAGAGGAAGGTGCAGATTTTCGAGATCAGGGAGATTCAGGATTTGGGTGTCCACAAGAGGAACTACTGGAGATTTCAGAAAGGGCATCACTTTGCGTCTGGGAAAGACGGTCTCCTTAACTTTGGGGATTTCCATTATTTCGGGCTGAAGGAGAGGCAGCACCATAGCAGGCTGAGCGAGGGGAAGGACATTCTGTGGAAGGACAGGGTAAGGAATGGGCTCAGCAAAAGGATAGACCAGAGGCTGTGGCTGGAAAACAGGGTGGATCTTATTCTGGCGTTCATCCTGGAAAGAAGGAAAAGAATCCTTGAGTCCATGATTCAGCTATAACTGTCATTTGTGATGAATTAACCTCCTCTCTTTTGAGAGTGAAAAGAGAAAGAATATCTTTTTCTGGTCTTGATTAAGAAATTCTTTTCAGTCAGGTGAGGACTAAAGAGTAAATCACTCATTAAGGGATTTCTCATCTACTCACTCCCTTCATAGGTGAATCCACAGATCAAACTGAAATAAAGTTTTGGAGATTTCAAGACCTGTTTCATTTTTTTCTGAATTGCCTGGATAGCTGCATCTGTCCACTTTGGTCTTCATAGGCATGGATTTTTCAACATAATGTGTTGCTAATAGAGCAAATTGTTTTCACATATGAAAGATCAATTTAAAAAGACTTAGAGGGATAACTCCAAGGTTTATTTGCTGTTGTTGTTTTAATGAAAACTAAATCTTAATTTATGACTCAATTCAAGGTGTTTCTTAACACCAGCCACCTTCTAGCACTACTTCTCTTGTTGGAAGGTAGTTATTTTGAGTCTTTCAAGAGGCATCAATTTGAGAACTCATTTCGATTTAGAAAATATTTGGTGTCAGTTCCAAACAATACAACTCCACTGATAAAACAGAGAAGTTGAAATATTATAATGAGATAAATTCGTTACCACATATATTACCACATGTAATTTAACTAAATGAAGAATTTTATTTTGTCTAAGAAAATCTTTAATTTTAAGCAAGCTCTATTACTTACTAACTGTGTAATATTGTCAGATAATTGTGTGCTCAATTGTTCTGCACCTCACTTCTGTCATCTGTGTAAGGGAAATTCTTTTAAGAACTTCACCATTCATAAATGTTAATATAAAACCTACAAAATATTACATAAAAACACTGAATATTCACTGTGCCACAGCTCATCAATACTCTGAGGTTATGAATGTTCTTGGTTTACAAATAAGAAAATTAAGTAGAGAGAAACTTGAGGACAAGGGTATACAGCCAAAAAATGTGTCATATTGCCTTCTTGTTCTCTTTCATCAGAATACCTACCTTGAGACTAAGGGGAAACTAGTTCCCAACCTGGAAACGTGAGTAAATCAAAAATTATCCATAGGTTTTGATTCTATACTCTGCAAATTAATTCTGAGTTTGAAAAATGCATTTATGTCTTAAAATATATTGACTGTTGAATTTCTTAAATTATTATTTTATTTTTTTAACATTTATTCATTTCTGAGACAGTGAGAGAGACAGAGCATGAGTGGAGGAGGGGCAGAGAGAGAGGGAGACACAGAATGTGAAGCAGGCCCCAGGCTCTGAGCTGTCAGCACAGACCCCAATGCGAGGCTTGAACTCACAGACTGTGAGATCATGATCTGAGCCAAAGTCAGACGCTTCACCGACCGAGCCACTCAGGCACCCTGACTGTTTAAATTTAATTTCCTCGCTGGAATTTATTTTATTATCAGTCTTTAGAGTGAACAAATACATATTAAGTATGTATTATATTTCATAATAATTTTAGAAATATACTTATCACAAATAAATTACCTGTCTTTGCTGCTGTTCCTCATGTTTAAAATTCTCATGTTTCTGCTAGAAACCAAATCAAATATAAAGAAATGTTACCACCTATAAAAATTAAATGTAGGAAATTTTGAAAATAAGTACATTTAAATATGAAGGTGTTACCTTGTTGATGTGTGTAAAAGATTCCTTCAGAAAAATAAAAATAAAGTTAGGTTTAGTTTTATGAATGCATCTTATTTGTCAAAACAAATCAGAAAATTAAAGCATGTAATAGGTTAACACGGACACCTTGTTTGATAATAGTAAAAACTCAGGATAATTGCTGAAACTTGTATGTTGTGCTGTTCTGCATAAACTTGTATAAAACAAAAATGAATGCAGTTAAGAAAGAAAATTAGTGAATATAGTACAAAAAGAGGTATTTAATTGATGTTAATTTCTCTCTACCACCACACTCCCATCCTAGGACAGCAAATAACTCTGTCACCCCATCTGATTCTAAAAGAATCATTTTCATTGATAATATGAATTTTGTCTTTTGTTTTAATCATTCTTAGTTTGCTTATGATGTTTACACTTCAAATTAGTTATAAGAAATTAATATCCTCCCTTAAGGGTCTGATAACCTTGTAGAGAGACCAAGTATACTATTTAACTAATAAGTAATGATATATCCAAAAACAGTGGTGCCAGGGTATATACCTACCTGACTTTCCCAAGCAGATTTAGGACTACACTACCTCTCAGTGCTTTTACTTAGTATAGTGACTATTGTAATTACAAAATATGTCCATTTGCATGTCTGCTCACACACTATGTTGTAAGCTCTTTATTATAGACATTCCTCTTTTTGGGGGCGCCTGGGTGGCTCAGTTGGTGGAGTGTCTGACTTTGGCTCAGGTCATGATCCCACGGTCAAGGGTTAGAGCCCCGCGTCGGACTCTGTGCTGGCAGCTAGCTCAGAGCCTGGAGGCTGCTTCACATTTTGTGTCTCCCTCTTTCTGACCCTCCCCTGCTCACGCTGTCTCTCTCTCTCTCTCTCTCTCTCAGAAATAAATAAAAACATTGAAAAAAATAGACATCCCTCCTTTCAATTTGCACTACAGCTCCTAGTCAATGTCTGATCCACAGAAGGGGCTCAATAAATATCAGAACAGTGAATCAGGTTGGTGTAAAGAGAGCTCAAGACAGAAAACAAAACTGTACAGTTCATTAAAAAAAAAAAAAGAGGGTCACAATGACATAATTCCAAGTAGCGAGCCAACTTAGAAAGTGTTAGGATACTAAATTCTTTAGATATTTTTTCTGTCCTTAAACATTTACAATGGAAATTTACATTAAAACTTATGTCACAACATAGCTGCATTAACCTAACTGTCCTAATATAGCAAAATAAAAACACAGCACAGCATTTTACTGATCCAAGACTGGGAAATTATCTCTGAAAACATTGTTTTACCTCACTGCTTGAAAGACTTTCCACAGTCTGTAAAGGAAAAACAAAAAATAAACAATCACTATTGCAGAATGTTAATAATATGGTTGAAAATTTTGTTCTGAATAAAAATATCTTACCTCACCAGACACAAGTTCCTCCTTCTGTAAGGAAAAATAAAGCACTATTTTGGTTTCCATAGGTAACTCATTATTAAACATTTTTCCTATCTAATTTTTACCTTCTTTATGCAAATATCTATCCCACAAATTTGAGAAATAAAAAATGCTATCTCTCAATATTGAGACTTTTGTCTCAAGCAAGGCAATTGTTTTTGTCTTTTATATTTAGTAACTTTGTTGATATATTTTTCTTTTACATGAATCAACAGTGTTTGATGGGCAGCAGAAAATGTTATTTTAATTTGTTTTAAACACTTTATTATGATTACAGATATGTGTAGGATTATGATTATTGCCTGATAGGCCATCCTCTCATGTCTCTGGATAGACACAGGTAGGAGTGGACCCAATGCCTTAAGGTGAGAGAAACATATATTTTATCGCTGGAATAAGATATATTTATCTAGGTTGTACATGCACGCCATCATATTTGTGTAACATTATTACTGTCATTTTTATATCCGGTTCTTTTTTTTTTTGTCTGTTTGCTGATAAGTCCATTTGCTTTTCCTTTAGGAAGTGGTGGCACAGTGATTAAGACAGAATTTGGCCCAGATTTGGGCCCCTACTGCACACTGTTGAAAAACTGGGGAATGTAAATGATTTTCTAAGAAGTCAAAATAAATCTGTTGGAATTCTGCTTTACTCGTACTTTAAAAATGTTATTGATACTATTCTCTACACATAGACAGATAATCCATTGCATCTTAATCATTTAGACATTTTCTTACCTCTCTTGCAAGAGCAAGAGCCACCAGGCAGGCGAGGATGAGGACCTTCATGGCTATCAAGTCCTGTCAATGGGGAAATGAAGGAATGGTAATATATTGGTCAGTCACTTTTCTTATTTAGCTAGGGCTACTTTCCTGTTAAAGAAACTAAAGATTATATGTAATAAAAATCTCTGCATTTTAGAAAAAAAAACTAATAAAAACTCTATCATATAGGCAAGGTCAAAATCTACTATGGTTCCTTACTCTTATATATTATTTTTATACTTTACGGCTGACTATTCAGATTTTTTCAGCTATCACCTCTACCCTACCTCACTCATTTTCATGTCATTCACAGTACTATGGTTTTCTTATTATTTTTGAAAGACAGAAAAAAGTTATAATTATTTGTAGAAACATTTATTAATTGATTCATCTGTTCAAAGATATTTCTTTAATACTTTTCATTGTTAGATACTGTCTAGGTGCCCGGATTACATCAGTGAACAAAATATTAAGGCCTCAGCCCTGATAGATCCTCAGTTCTATTGGGAGGAAACTGACCAAAGAATATATATGCAACGATCATATTTTATTCTTATCTTTTTATTAGTAAGCCAAACCATTTCCATGGATATTTGTTTTAAAATATCTCATTTCCAATAAGACTGAGATTTCATTTGAACATTTCCTTTATTTCCTCCCTTTACCCAGATGCACTGATTGGTTTGTTTCTTCTCCATTTATATCCACTACTCAGTCCTCATCCCTACATATCTAATAATGCCTCCTCTCCTTTATGACACAGAGCTTTAGAGATAATACACTGTGCTTTTATTCTGATTTCTTTTTTTTTTTTAAACATTTATTCATTTTTGAGAGAGCGATAGACTGCGAGTGGGGGAGGGTCAGAGAGAAAGGGAGACACAGAATTGGAAACAAGCTCCAGGCTCTGAGTTATCTGCACAGAGCCCAAATAGGGGCTCAAATCCACGAGCGGTGAGATCATGACCTGAGCCGAAGTTGGACGCTTAACTGACTGAGACACCCAGGCGCCCCTCTCTCTGATTTCTTGATGATTTACCGAAGTATCAGGTTATCTTGCCCAATCTCCACTCCAGGCTACCTCCTCTTGTAGTGTAACATATATGTTAGTATTTTCACCAAAATGTACCAAATGCCTGATTTTGTTTCATTTCTATAATTTCTTGTACAAAATAATATTTGTGCTACATACAATCTTCACATAATCTACATACAATATAGCTTGACATACAATCTTAGCTCTCTGATTTTTAATCTAAACTTCTGAACTAAAAACATTTCATGAAAAAATTCCCTTATTCATCTGCAAAATATCCTTTCCAATATTTGAAGACTGAAAATTATCTCTTTCTTCAGGAAAAAAGTATTTTTTATAGATTTTTCTCATGGTTGCTATATAAATCTTAATAATTTTCCTTTGCCTAAGAGCACCATAAGCTTCCAAATAATTTTTATTGCCAGGACTTAAAAAAAAAAGAATACGGAACTCTAGTAGAGATCATTATATATAGGAAGGATCTCATTTCATTTTCTATATTTTATAATTAGCATTTTATATACCATTTTTTTAGCCAGAACTTCATTTTGACCAATCTATTCTAAAGTACTCTTTTAGTTTTTCCAAATCTTCTCTTTGCTTTTGTTTCCACGTCATCTCTGTCCCGTCTAAAATTTTCTTATAAAATAAAACATTTTCTTTTTTTTACTTAATTTTGTATTTCATATGCCTATTTAAAAGAAAAAGAATATTTTGAACTATCATAGACTAAATGATAAAGGGGGAAGTTGGCTACTCTAAATAAGCTTGATGAATACCCACTTCTAAAAATGATTTATAAACATTTCAAGTAGTGCATATCCCCAAACAAGTCCTATAGTTTCTTAACTCTGTGTGCCACTGCGAAAACTACTGATGGATAAAGGTTTCCCATTAATCATTCACATCTCCTTAAAATAACTTAAATATATTTTCTTTTATTGTTGTGGTATGTTTAACCAAATTAGAAGATTTATTAATTCAAGAAATAGATTTTTCAATGTGGCCTGTGAACTGGCTTTGTACCAAAAAAATAGTAATCATTGTTACTACACTTCTTAGACTCAAAGCTTATGCAGTCATAATTTTTACCAAATCTTTTGACATTTCTATTTTTTTAACCTAAGGTTTGAAAATAGTGCCAGTATTACTTTAAATACGCTTCTTTGAAAGACTGTATTTCAAGCAATTATTTTCTTCATATATCTTAGCCTACTTTGAAATAAAAGTGAAGAGAGTATATATCAAATTTACATGTGAAATTCTTACCTTTTTCCAAGGTGGAGGACAGGAAGTGAAGGAGAAGCTAAGTGGATGATGGTCTGTCTGCTTCTGTGGTGGTTTATATACTGTATTAAGTGGTATGCTAATTTTGTGATTTGAGATAAAATCAATAGTGAGCTTCAATTCCAAGTAGTCCACATGATTGGAAAATGATTTCTGCCTATTATCTGTACCCAGAAATTCTGGGGATCATCTTAACAAGGAAGCAATTCACAAGCCAATAAAGAAAATCTGCCCAGGAAATGTAATTGTCTAATAACTAAAACAATGACTGGAAGACAGTGAGTCTCTGGTCCAATCCACAAGTTATTGTGGATGCAATTAAATCTATTTAGCACTTGGTGGGTCCTCATGATGGCAGTTGTAGGGGATTCTCTATGAACATCAGAGAAATACAGGGTTTTCACAAAGACCACTATTTCATGCTGACCTGAGCCGTTGTTAGTGTTTTACGGGGCAGTGGAGAAACTGACAAGATAACAAGTCCCTGATGATAGCTTAGTCATGTAGGGCAAACTGCTTAGCTTCAGGACTACTTGATTTGGGAAAAACAAATCATTCATTTCAAACCAATAATTCGTACATCAGAGGAATAAAATTTCCTCTATAATGAAACATCTCAGAAAAAGAATCTATCCGAATAGCTGGTATAGTTAAAATCCTTGGTAAATCTGTTAACAAAAAATTAATGAAATGTCATGGAGACTTATTTACCTGATAAGTACTGATTACTTTTTTCTATTTCAGGCATAATAATAATCTTTATTTTTATGCTCCATATCACCCCTGTTCCAGGCACTGTGAATTTTGCAGACATTACCTTGTACAATCTTTACAAAAACATCATGGGGTAGTTTGCCTCTTTACATTTTGGTTAATGAAAATGAGACAACAAAAGATTGAGTACTTGCTCAAAATAATATTGTTTGTTAACGGTAAAGGTACAATTTAAAACTACTAGATCTGTCTGACTACATGTATTTCTATTTAATCATATGTTGTGCCCATGTTTTAACTCCCTTTATAAATTCTGTTATAAAATTTAGCTATTGGGGTTCCTGGGTGGTTCAGTCAGTTAAAAGTCGGACTTCAGCTGAATTATAATCTTGTGGTTGGTGGATTCGAGCCTTGCATAGGGTTCTGTGCTGACAGCTCAGAGCCTAGAGCCTGCTTCAAATTCTGTGTCTCCCTTTCTCTTTGCTCCTCCCCTATTTGTGCTCTGTTTCTTTCTCTCAAATAAATAAACATAAAAAATTAAAAAATAAATAAAATTCAGCTATCAGCATGGCATTTGTGCTTAAATGTGTAGAATTTAATTATGCCTGAATTGGAGGAATGGGGCATCTGTGCTGAGTGTGGGTGGGGCGAACTGGTCATTAAAGAGCTGCTATTTAAGTTAGACCTTAAAAGAATAAGAAGAATTTTAAGAGATGATTAAATGGGAATAAAGCATTTCGGCTGAAGGAAAGACAGGAGTTTGAAGAGAAAAATACCAATTTTGATGGGTTCTGTACTTCAGGTTACACAGAAGGTATAGAATATAAGTTACTGTTGAAATAGTTTGATGGAATCAGATCACAATGTCTTTGAATTTCAATTATGCCGTGTAACATAATTCACTGGAAATGAGGGAAGATATTAGATACTTGAAGGAAGGAAGAATTGTGAAATTTCTTAAATTTTATGATTTTATGACAGTATCTCTGATAACCTAGGAAGGGAGATGAAATATGTTAGTGTTTGTTAATACCAAAAGTATATGTTAATACAGTAGTCTAGACAGACATATGATGATGTCAACTAGAAGGATGGTACTGGGTATTTTAGGTAATGAGAAGACAAATGTGTCATTAAAATATGAGAAATGTGAGAAATCAGGGAAATGAATGAATGGAATTTGAGTGATTGAAAAGTTAGTCCTTTTATAAACCAAGATAAGAAACCAAGTTGAAATTAGAAAGGGCTAAACCTTGTACATGAAGTTGGAAGGTGTCCAGAACGTATGTCAGTTAAATATGATGCTCAGATAAGTCCTGAGTATAGTCATAAGTACATGTATTTCCAAGGAAGGCAATAGATGGAGATGAGAACAGAAAAAGAAGATAAAGTTGGATAAAGAAGGACAAAGCATCCTGGGCTCCTAAGGATTACAAATTTTATTCTGTAGACAATGGGAATTTGTTGAAGAGTTTTAGAAGTTACTTAGACAGTAATTGCTTCCAGAAAATAAATGCTAATACCACACATTTATTAAAATGGGACTGCTTAGATGTGCCAAGGTGGCTCAGTTGGTAGACAGTAATTGCTTCCAGAAAATAAATGCTAATACCACACATTTATTAAAATGGGACTGCTTAGATGTGCCACGGTGGCTCAGTTGGTTAAGTGTCCGACTTCGGCTCAGGTCATGATCTCGCAGTTCCTGAGTTTGAGCTCCTAGTCGGGCTCTGTGATGACAGCTCAGAGCCTGGAGCCTGTTTCAGATTCTGTGTCTCCTTCTCTGTCTGCCCCTCCTCTGCTTGTTCTCTCTCTCTCTCTCTCCCTCTCTTCCAAAAATAAATAAAACACTAAAAAATTTTTAAAAAAATAAAATGGGACTTCTCAAGTTTTGGCTCATATCTTTTGCAGTAGGTCAATGTTTATCAGCTAATGTTTGTGGAAGAACAGATGATAGAAGGGAGAAAGGAAAGTGAAGCACAGAGAG